AAAATACAAATTTCCACATGAGTTATTAAATTCTACATCCTCCCAAGCAAAAGATAAACACACATTTTTTGCCGATCCAGCCCATACTCAGAACCAAGAGAAATGTCCAAAGGATGCTAATCCTAGGTTTAAGCCACATCTCTTCAACTGTGTACCATGCCTAGCTCTTGTCTGTGAAAAGGGACAGTGCACCAGGCCCCTGCTCCCAGGACACAAAGTAGGGCAGGGGGCAAGTCCTGCTCTGCCCCCTCAGGACTGTCCAGAACTGACTTCATGCCAGTGACTCCCCAGAGCCAGTCCTGTGTAGGGATTAGGGGCCCGTAAACTGGAAGAGTCTAGACAGCCAAAGTGACAGAACAGAAGAAACAAGGAATCTTGGGAGTGAGCCAAGCACCAGCCTGATTCTGATGTAGTCATAGATCAGGACAATATCCAATCTCACATTCCAAAAGCAGAGATGGACACACTCTAGCCGTCCACCCCTGTCCATTTACTAGGAAAAGTCCAAGTCCTGGAAAGATGCTAGGGCTTCAAAAAGGGAGGAAACACACAATATAAATATTAGATTTGTGGACCTTATCTCCCTTCTCATGCCATAAGTAACTAGTTTGCTTCTTCCAGAAAGTTCCAGACTTCTCCTATTGTCTCTGTAGCCGCCCTTCTAGCCCCAATAGATCATCCATTTTTTGATACAAATAAAACAGAATTTGTAATGATTGCTGTCATTACATGAAAGCAACTTCACATGCAAAGAATGCTGAGAGGCCACGGAACCGAATGCTGCTTTCGAGCAAATCCTTATTATTAATTTAGGTGGGTTTTGGGGTATTGGAGAAAGCAACTTTACTTGTATATTTAATTTCTTCCAAGTGAGAACTTGGAAGAAAGCTCTGATCTTGTTACCTAAATGCATCATGTAAGAGAACATGTGTAGGACAATGGAGGGAAAGTATGAAGAAAAGCACAGAAACTCACATAGAACCCGTAAAGGGACGACTAGGATGGGAGAGAGGGCTTGTGGGGGAAAGGTTCTGAACGAGGCCTTTCATGATCTCGACACCTGCTCCCAGCCTGAGGCTGTGAGAAGGATGGCTTTCCGGCTTTTTCTTCAGAAAGGGGCTAGTACCTCCACCTTGGCAGTGCTGTGGTGGTAGCTCCGTCAGCTGGCCCAGTGCACTATGGACACAGGACCTTCCCTCCACTGAGGCTGGATTGTCTTCCCAGAAGGCTGGGCCAGGCACACAGCACAGCAGCATTTCTAACCCGACAAACTTCTTCACAAAGGGCAGTGGCAGGTGCAGATGCATTACCTACAGAATGCTCCACGGGGCATTTATTTTGGTAAGGGGAGAGACAGTTCTTTACATAACAAATATAAACACAACTGTCTCTGGGACTTGAAACCAGCCGGCTAGACTGCATGCAGGCTGCTGGATCTGTTACAGTTCAAGGTTTTCCTTCTGAAGATTACAGAGCCTAGAATGGGGTTATGCATTTGAAAGCCTGCAAGAGAATCTCTATTTAAAGTCTACACAGGGCTCTCCAGGGTCCCTACTGAGGAGGGAGAGGAGAAAACAAGGCAGAAACTACCATCCACGTCTCAGAGAAGGCCAAGTGTGGAGGCCAGGGCAAGCACAAGTTAGGGTACAGGAGTAGGCAGTGAGGGCTCTCTGGCAGGAAGAGGGTGACCACAGGAAAGCCCAGAGACCAGGGACAGATAGAAGTCTGACTGTGTGACAGGACCAGACTTAGCTTCCCCAGAGATCTTTTTTGTTCTGGGGTTGCCAGCAGGTCTCTGCTCCTTGGCACCACCTTGGCACTGGCGATGGAACGGAAGCAGAGCACCAGAGTGGCGGCAGAGACGAGGAGGCCCGGACCCAGCACCAGAGCTCCGTGGTGGCTCCAAGGGCTTCAGGCCTACCCCTCTCTCCCTCCCCCCCTTCCTCAGGGATTGCTTCAGGGTCCCCACCCCTTGCTCTGGATGCTCACTGGTTCCAGCCAGCACAAGAGGAATCAAAACAGAAGGAGACATTTTCCTGAAATGAAAGACATTTAGAAGGAAGGCTAAAAAGGAACGAGAAACAGGGAGGGAAGCGCAGGGAGAGCAAGAATGGAAGATGGAGAGGAGGTGGGGAGGAGGACGGAAGAGACAGAGGAAAAAGAGAAGGAGGGGTGGAGGGGGAGGAAAGGATGGGGAGGGAGGAGAAAGAGGGAAAGAAAAAGAAGGGAAGAGGAGGGAGGGAGGGAGGAAGGAAGGAAGGAAGGAAGGAAGGAAGGAAGGAAGGAAGGAAGGAAGGAAGGAAGGAAGGAAGGAAGGAAGGAAGGAAGGAAGGAAGGAAGGAAAAAAGGGAGGGAGAGACCAGGAGGTAGGGGAGGGTTCAGATCCCCCTGCGCTCGGCTGGAGCCGGTAGAACTCCTTCCTTGGAATGGGACCCCAGGTCGAGATCGCTTTCGACCTGGCAGGGCAGAAGGCAGCAGCGGGCGGCGCAGCAGCATCCCGGCGGGTTGATGAGATGCTGGGGCGCGGTCAGGAAGGGGACTTTGCCCTCCAGAGCAAGGCCTCCACAGCCAGGCACGCCGCCCGCGAGGAGCCACATTCCCAGGCCCGGGCAGCAGCGAGTGTCCCCTGCATGCGTCCCGGTGTCTGTCTCCGCACGCGTCTCTGGATGCTGGCGCCAGCCTGTCTAGAGAACCAGTGCTGGCTAGAAAGCCTCCCTCCCCCCGCCCACCCTGCGGGGACGTGCAGGGTCCCGAGAAGGAGGGTGGAGGTTGCAGAGTGCCCTGGGGAGGGGACACCCCGAGAGGCGTCGGGGGCTGGGGTCCGGGGCATCCCCGTGATAGGTCAGGACGGTAGCTGCTGCGGTGGAGCCGAAGCCCGGGCTTGCCTGCCTTCTGAATCCGACTCCAACCATGGGGAAAGCCGGGCCATCTTCTAGGAGAGGCAGGTGCTGCGGGTTCTCACCCGCTTGCTTGTGTCAGGGGCTGCTGAGTGGGTAGCTCGGTGGCGGGACTGGCAGTGCGGGCGATGGCGCGTCACGGTACGCAGGAGGTGAGGGTAGGTCGGGCGTCAGCTTCAGTGGGTGCCGGGCTGCGTGTGGGAGCTGTCGTCTTCCGGGGCTGCAGTTTGCCACCCTGCTGTGTCTGGAAGCATGGTGATCGGGTTCCGCTTTCGGGTCCTTGGGGGTCAGTGTTTGGGAGTATGCAGCCTTCCCAGGGTGCCAGCGCCCAGGCTTTTCTCGAGGTCCCAGGTGACTCTGGAGGTGGGCAGTTGCCGGTGATTGTGCGGTGATTCCCCAAAGGAGTCAGATCCCGTCACTCCTGATCCCTGATCGCCTTCGCGATGCGAGCGGCAGCGGTGGCGGCGGCAGCGAGCCCCTTGGGTCTCTGCACTATGGAGTTCCCGCAGATGCTCTCCTAACCCTGGCCCTGACCAAGGCCTCGTTAAACCTACAAGGGCGCACCTGTACACTGGGGGGTGCGGTGTGAAGAATCATTTGGCCAGTGCTATTAGGAAACCACCCGCACCCCCTGGTCTAGGATCTGGGTACAACCGGGGCAAAGTTACCACCACGGGGGCTCCGTTGCTTTCTCTCCCCAGATGGCTCCAAAGTGCCTTCCCTGCCAGACTTGGAGTTGGTGAAATGGACTGCATTTGGGAATTCATTTCGAGCTGGGATCCTAAGCTTCTCTCCTACTAGACAACACCAAGGCTCTCATATGGGCACTATTGTTAACAGTGCTTGTAACTTTCACTTGTAATGTTCTAGACCCCAGCCACCAATGCCATCTGCCCCCAGATTTCCCCCAACACCATCTGCCCTCAGATGTCCCCTGTAATGTGGGGGGGGGGGGGGGAGGGATTCAGGTCCAAATCTAATCATTGCTGTGAGCTTTAATGGCTCTTTCTTTCTCCTAGGCACCACTGGGCTTGGGTCCCTGTTTGAGATTCCAGGGCTTGGGCCTCCTATAGCTTTCCACCAAGGTCCAGCAATTCCATATGAAGATCTCTCAGCCAGAGAGCCTTGCTGCTTATGAAGATTTTTTTTTAATTAAACACGGACTCTTTGGAACTGAAAACTAACCAAAGGATAGGGATGTCTTCTGAAATTTGGAAATCCCGGTTCCACTTCCCAGAGGTGTCTGAGGTCAACCTTCAGTGACAGACTGAGATAATGAGGAGCATAAACGAGTTTGGAGCCACCTAGGAGGAAACTGCTCATCTAACAATCCAGAAAAGGAAAGGCTCTAGGGTCATAACAAGATGGGAGAATCTTCAGCTTACCGTGGAAGCTGCTACCACAGAAAGACCCCCAAACTCCCCAACCTCCAATTTGTAGAATCTCAGCAAGCCTGGTTCCACGGTGTAGCTGGGCTGAGAGTTCCCAGGTGAAACCCGTGTACACGCTGGGACATACTACCCCTGAAAGATATCCTTAAGGACTACTGCAAGGTTTGGTACTAGGTGTCACCTGCTTCTATCAGCTTGGGTGGGATGGAGGGGTGGGGGGAAACAGGCCTCCATTCTAGAGCAGGAATTCTAACCCTGGGAAGATCTAGTGCCCAGCAGAAGAAAGCCAAGAGACTCAAAAGAAACCCAGGCAGCAAAGCAGCAGGAGTGCTGGTCAGTGGGACCTGAGCACCAAAAAGACCTGGTTTATCCATCAGGGCAGCTACTCCTGGCTTTCTGGTCTCTGCCAGTCACTACCTCACAGCAGGCTGGCTAACGAGCCAGTGCGGATCCTCAGCCTCAAACGCTGATAAAGTGGCATGCACTCTGTGCTCAGGGACACCAAGGCCTTTCTGATCTGCACTAGCTCAGTTCACAGAATCTTGCCCAGGGTGTGGACCCAGAGTAAGAAGCAGAGAACATGGTTGTGGCTGACATACATCCATGAGGTCACACACTCAGGGTGAGGTCTGCCCAGCCTTGCTTTGACAAAGAGGAATATGCCCCAAAGTTGGTACAAAGGAAGAAAAATCAAAGTCATGCAAACTCCAAGTCCTCTAAATAAACACCATTTCCATGGTTTTAATAAGCAAAATAGGAAACCATTTTTAATAACCAAAAACAGAAACCAGTCTGAATTAAAACTACAATAGACTAGGTTTTAATATTTTCATATCATAAGCAGGGTTTGAAATTGATCCCTTATTTTACACGAAATAAAAACAATTTCTGTTGCGGCAAGTTTGATTTCAACACAGTTGAATCTGTAAAAACCAAAGCTCGTTTCTGATGCAGGACAAATATCCACAATATTTAAAACTGCAAGCACCATGCGGTTCATACAATCTTGTTATTACTGTTAATTTATCAACTAATACAAACTCAAGAATAAAATGCATCCGGCCAGCAGCGCCAGCAATTTCAAATGGGAACTAAAAAATACACTTTTTTTTTTTCCGTCAGTGCAACTTAAATCCTTTTACTGACCTGCAGGGGAAAAAAAATGTAATAAGAAAGAAAACACCCAGATTTTCCCTATAACTACTATATAGCTGAAGGGGTTAGATGGTGAGGAGGGGGAGAAGGGGGAGAATATCACTAATTAACTCTTCCTGCTATCTCAAAAGCAGGAAAAGAAGCACATAATGCATTGGTCTACAGAACGCACTTGAAAGTTGCAGAATTGCGGCCAATGTTTGGCTTTCTGGTACATTCTGAGCGTGGCAGTTGAGGTGATGTGAGCGCTGATCATTGTTGACCAGTCCCAAGGAGAGTGGTGTCTCTCACAGGAAGATCGCTCAGCCTCTGAGATAAATGTGGTGCCTGGAGGGTTCCACAGGGGTGGGGGGCCGGGGGACCGGGAATAATGCCGGCTACTACAACGTAAAGCAAAGATCTGCTTTCTTTCCCTCTACTTATTATGAGTGTCAATCTGACCATCAGACAAGGCGGATAGAGAAGACAAACTCTGGCCTCCGTGGTATGGAACTGTGTGCAGCTGCATCGCTCTTGAACTTGCTTTCCATCAACACCCACAAAATCAAAAACAAAATAAAGCAGGGGGGGAAAAAAGAGGACCGAACATGGACAACACGGAAGGAAGAAAATACTCAAACACCCCAAGACAAAGATGTTTCATGATGCTAAATGCCTAGGACGTTCCTTTCTTTGTTCTTTAAAAAAAAAAAACTTACAAAAAATGCCATAATAATAAAACCCAAACAGACACTCAGCTTGCTGCCATGTTCTATGAGGTTTGGTGAGGCAGGCGGGTATGTACAAGCCGGGCCAGGATTGAAACCTGGCTGGCAGCCTCCCGAGTTTCAGAACTGCGATCCCTTCTCGCTCAAAGAAACAAGGGGGAGGAGGGGTTATGACATGATCAACAAACAACATGCTAAAGTTAAACAAGAAAAATGGTACAAAATAGAAATTATTACCATACATGTCCAGCATGCAGGATTAATATTTTAATGCAGATTTTCGTATTTGTTTTTCTATATAATCGAGCAGGCAATAAAATGGATGAGATTTTGCGCGCGAGCGTCAAACGTCCTGAGACCCGCGTCTCCGGGGCTGAGAGCCAGTGTTCTTTCCAGACTCTTGGACAGACAGTTTTGTCTGTTCTTCCTCCCTTCGCTCAGCCTTTGCTTTGTGCCTGCCGGGACTCCTGGGTCCCTCTCCTCTCCTCTGCTCTCTTCCTTGGGGGGCGACTGACGGCAGCCCTGGGGCACAAAGTTCAGAAAGCCAGGAGTCTCTCCAGGCGGCCCTTGGCAAACTCCTTGGTACGGTGCCGCCCGCGCCGCCATCCAGTTTGGAGAAAAGTTGCTGGGGGGGGGGGGGAGGGGGGAAACCTCCCACCCCCTGGTCTAGCTCTGCCCGGAGTCTAGGAAGTGGCGCTGGCGTGCGCCCGACTCTCGCCTTAGCCAAGGTCCCCTGCCTGCCCCGCGCTCTTGTCGGTCGCCCGCGGCCCCGAGCGTCCGACCTCCCTCTCCCTTAAGTCAAACAGGTCAAAGTTGGAGCCATGGCAGGGACAAGGTCCAGGAGAGTCCGGGGCTGGGAACACCAAGAGGACAGGGAGTCCGGGACAGGGCGGGGGGGGGGGGGGGGGGGAGAGGTGGTGGTGGGGATGTTGGGAGTTGGGGTGGGGGAGAGAGGCCGGGACCCGCCACGACTCACAGAAAGAACTCGGGAGAGGAGGGGCTGTCGCTGGTGGAGCCCGCCTCTCGGAAGCCGGAGTTGGCGAGTTTCTCGCACTTGACCTTGTAGGCGTCTCTCTCTCGGGCCAGCCGGGACACCTCCTGCTTAAGCTGCTCCACCTGCTGAATGAGCTGCGTCTTCTCGTTCTCCAGGTGGTGTTTCTGCTGGACGCGTTTATACCTGCACGACTGGGCGTAGCCCCGGTTCTTCAGGGTCCGCCGCTTCTGCTTCAGGCGGATCACCTCGTCCTTGGTGAAGCCCCGCAGGTGGCGGTTCAGCTCACGCACCGACATGGACACGAGCTGGTCGTCGGAGAAGCGGTCCTCCACGCTACCGTTACCACCCGCGGCCGTGGCGGCGGCCGCTGCATGCGGCCCGGGCCCGGGGTGGCTGGTGGGCAGCTGTTGTGCGGGGCTGGCGGCGCTGGACGGCGGCGGAGACGCTTGGTGGTGGTGGTGATGGTGCGGGTGCGGCCCCAGCTCATCGTGGGCCACCCCGGCGGCCCCGGGGTACCCGTGGTGCGGGTGCGGGTGGTGGTGATGGTGGTGGTGGTGAGCGCCGCGGAAACCATCGAAGGTCTGCAGAGGCTGTGGCACCGGGTGCGAGCCGATGAGCGCCTCCACCGCGTCCTCGGGCGTCAGGTTGAGCGCTTCGGGGTTCATCTGCTGGTAGCTGCTCGCCATCCAGTACAGGTCCTCGAGATGGGTTTTCTGTTCTGTGGGGCTGAAGCTGGGCGACGAGGGCACCGAGCTACAGGGTGTGCTGAGCGGTGTGGATGACACGGAGCCAGCTGGCTGCAGGCGCGTGCAGGGCCGGCCCGGCCGCTCCGCGCGCCCCAGGGGCTCCTTCTTCACGTCGAACTTGAGCAGGTCGAAGTCATTCACGTACTCCATGGCCAGCGGGCTGGTGGGCAGCTCTGGCCCCATGCTCAGCTCCGCGGCCATCGCTAACGCGAGGCTCCGTCGCAGCTGCCGCAGGGGGTGGGGGGGGTGGGGTGGGGGAGAAACTTTGCTCGGCCGGCCGGAGCGCACCCGAGCCGAGCCGAGCCAAGCACCACGCGGGGAGGGAGGGGGCGAAGAGCAGAGAGAGCCCCCGGGGAGGGCAAGGCGGAAGATCGGAGGGCGTAGCGGGCCCGGGGACGCTGGCCAAGCCTTTGTCTGGGGACAGCAGCGGCGGCGGCGCGCTGGAGAGAGTCCCGAGGCTGGCTGCGAGGTCCCCCCCCCCACCCAGAGCTCCGGGCTGTAGCCCGGGGCAGAGATCGAGTCAGGTCAAGCCAGGCAGGGCCGAGGAGAGAAGCAAGAGAGAGCGGTGGTGCACGGTGGGGCCGGCCGGCGGAGAGGCGCAGGGGGGGCGAACGCCCGCTGTTGCTGCTGCTGCTGCTCGCTCGCTCGCTCTAGCTCTCTTAGCTCTAATGCCTTCTCGCTCTCAGCCGCGCGCACGCAGCCCAGCCGTGCAGCTGTGCTGGGTCGGCAGCCGCCCGCAGCCTTTTATCGCCTTCCTGATGTCACTGGGGCGCGGGGGGGCCCCAGGCAGCCCAGCGCACTGGCCAATAGCCTGGTGGCTCCGGCGGGCCCGGTGGCGCTGGGCGGGGCGTGTCTGACAGCTCCCCCGCCCCCTGCGTCAGCTGACGGGCGGCCGGAGCCAGCCCCGGAGCCAGCGAGGCCTGGCAGAGGGCTGGAGCCAGTGGGACGGCCGGCCCGGGCCCAACCCCCCACACCCTCCGAGCTCTGGCTCCCACAAGCTCGCCTTCCGCGCGCACCCCACCTCCGGGCCAAGTCCCCGTTTCTCCCCCCCGCCTTCCCCCGTACACCCACCCTTCTCAATACCCTGTGCGCTCCCATCCTCAGCCCCTGACATCCACCAGGAGGCTCCCCAGTGATCGCCCGGGCTGACGCCTCTCTCCTGGGCCCTTTGTTCCCATGCGGCCCCCGCCCAAGTGGGCGACTGTTCTCGCTCCCTCTCCCTCTCTCTTTCTCACCGAGTCCTCTCCAGACTGCGGGCTGCGGGACTGTGCGCGGTGCCAGCCTGTACCTCCGCAGGTCTGCACATTATTTGACTGTGGGGCGAGGGCGGGGGGGGGGGGGAGCGGGGCTCGGAAATTGGGGCTCCAAGAGTTGGATCCAGACCGAACTCTTAACCTTCCCCAGGAGCTTTCTCCTGCCCCCCCCCCAAAGATTCTTTGCTACTGAGTGCTAGTCCTAAGGTAGGACTCCACCACGGGCCTCCCCGTTCCCCCCCCCCCCCCCCGAGATGCTCGCGGGGGATTGGCCATCAATTCACAAACAACAACAACAACAACAGCCCTAAGGTTCTATCTGAATCTCTTTCCCCCACTCAGACGCAGGGAAAGCTGCGCGCTCCACTCCAAGACACCCCTCCCCCGCCCCTCGGCCGAGGTGTGCACCGGACAGTGAGTGCTCCGGCTCCGCGGCTGGAGAATCGGCCCTGTTTTTGTTTGAACGTTTTGTAACCATTAAGCCGAGCCCAGCGCCCGCGGGCCGCGGAGAGGCTCAAACAGGCATAAAGTGCGACCCCAAGTGGCCATGGTGTGAAAAGACGCACCGACGCGCGCTGTCCATTACCCATTACCCCGTTGACCGGAAGGCTTGGGAAGGCACCTGGGACCCCAACAAGGTATCCCTACTTTCCCTCAACCGGGCCAACCTCAAAACGTGGGGAGAGGTGCGCGCAACCTAGACCAAAATAAGTGACACTGGAGCCGCGCACAGGTTCTCTTGGTTCCATCGTGGTATTCAGCCGCGACTCCTGCGACGCTAGTTGCCCCTACGGAAATTTCCTTGCTCCTCACCTCTTGGTGAGGGTGCCCGTCTCAGACTGCTCCCCAAGGGGGAAGGTCCTGGGCGATGGGGTTGAGATCTGGTTGCTGAACGTGGAAACTGCACGGCTGGGGGACCCAGGGCTGTCGGGGAGAAATCATCCCCAGAGTCCAGCACACCAGGCACGAGTCTCCTCACCCTCCTTGTCCTGGGCCAAGGTGGGCGGCCATAAGGGATTTCTCCCAGAGACCCCGGCTCCAGCTCGAGGAGCGGAGACAGTGCGAATTCGCTGCAGCGGGAGATCGGACCCGCCTCCCACGTCGCCTTCTGCTTTCCAGTTTGGATGCGCACGAAAGGCCAGAGAGAGAAAGTGCCCCGGGTGAGTGCATTGGGGCTTGGTGTTTGTGGACTTAGCGGGGCTGATGCCACGACGCGGGGTCCCATCGGCCCCACCAATGCCAAGGTGGCCAGACTTTTTTTAAGCTGTTAGAAAGTTTTTTAAAAAATTCCTCCAATTTACTCTGAAAATCTTCTCTTGCGCCTTTGGGGAGGCTGCGGTAGGGTGTGGTCCGGGTCGCCTACTTTAAATAAAATGAATGTATTTGAACTAAAAAAAAAATGAACTAAAAGGTGTAGGTGAGTCACTGTTAATACTGGTAGAATTAAGCCTTTTAAAGAGGCATGCTCTCTGCATAAATGATTCCACTGTCTGGGGAGCCAGCTTGGCGAGTTAGGCTGCGCTGTCACCCCAGTTTGAAGTTGGGCAAAGGGAGGGGGGGGCACAGACTTGCCCTGTAAGGGTCCCGCGGTGTTGGAATCGGGAACGGAGGTGAGCAGCACATGCTCTCAGACTGCGGCTCCGCTCCTCCGAGGGGGAGCTGTAGCGGCCAGCTTCTGCCACAGACCCGGGGTCTGTTTAGACTGTGACTTCGGCCTCTACAAACACACGGGGGCTTCACTCCAGCGAGCCAGCTCCCTCCCTCCAGGCCTAAAAGACACCGGGTTCTGGAGCGTGCCTGCCCGGGTGCTCAGCCCTCGGACTTGGACAGGACAGTGTCTCCACCGCGCACCGGACAGAGTCTGGAGGACCTAGACTGGCTCTTGAAAGTGCGAACTCTTGAGACCCTGGAGACTCCCTGTGGCCCCGTCCCAAAGTTGCAACACCCCTGCGCCCCACTGCCTCCCGTCCCCAGGTCTGGAGGATTCGCGGCTTTCACCTGATCCTCTTGATCTCTTTTGTCCCTGTGCCTGTGTCTTTGTTCCTGGGGATTGACTTAGCTGTATCTGTTGGTTCCTAGGTTCGCCTCCAACCCAAATCCATTTTGCTTGGGCTCCCCGGGTAGCCATTGCCCCCTTTTCTTACTCCCCCCCCCAACCACCACTACTACCCCCACAAAGTTGGGAACAGCTCACCCCTGCAAGCTGAGGAGACACCTCGTTGCCTCCCCCCCCCCCCTCCGCCCAAGGAGGCTCTTGCCGTGCAGAGATCCCACTTCAAGGACCAGCCTCTCAGACCCCAACTCCGGCTTCCTTCCTCCACGGGAGCAGGGTCAGGAGCCCCTGGCTTTATGCCATCTGGCTTGGGACTGCCACCACGGGCTCGGGCACGCAGAACCGGAAGCATCCCCAAAAGACAGGCAGGATGGAGGGGTGCTACATGCCCATCCTCGAGGAGTCGAAAGAACAAGGAAGGATGGAGGAAAAGAAAAAGAGTGGAGGAGATTCGGCGGCATGCAAAGCCCCAAGCCTTGTTGAGCGAAAGCCGGGGTGAGGGGTGGGGGGGAGGTGGAATGTCGGAGGCCAGAACGCCTCTACTTAACAGCCAACCCGTCTCTCCCCGCCAAAGCTTCCATTTGAAGTTGTCACCCCAAAGCGACCCCCCCTATTCATTTCATTTGGGCCACAGGTGATTCCTCCTACGGCTATGCAGGGATCCTTCCAGGAGGGTTCTCGGGGGCCGAGCACGGGGCGCTCTTGGTGGGGATGAGGGGTGTTCTCTAACGGACCCTGGGGCCAACTGCCAATCAGGGCACGGAGTCGGAAGTTTGCGAAGCTGTCCCGGCTCCCGTGTCCCCGCTGAGATTTACTCAGCCAACTTTGCGCCCTCTTTGTGCTTCCAGACCTGAGCAGCATCTGCGCTTCTCGCTCAAGCGCGCAGTGCATGCAGGGTTTCACTGAGGGCTGCAGGTAGGAGCGAGCAGATTTCCTGGGAGCTCACAGGTGCAGATGGAGATATATTGGGGAGGGGGGATAGGGAGATGGGAGGGTAGAGAGGGAAAGAGAATGTGTGTGTGCACGCAGTGTGCTTGTGGGTTCTCCAGTCCTCTGGATGCACAAGCCCCCGTGGACTATAGGATCAGACTATTTGGGGTCACCCAGCACAGACTGGTGGTCCCAAGCCCCCCCCCCCAGGCTGCATTCTGCTAAGGAGGGGCCAGAATCAGAGGAACACACACACCCCTCCAGAAGTCTGCCTTCTGCCTTTTCATCTTTACCATGTTAGTGTCACTGGCTCTTCCAAGATCCCTGCCCGAGGGTTCCGGTGCCTATCTCTGAGCCCAGCAGGAAAGCTACTCTGTCCGCTCTCACTTCCTGAAAACCTCCCTGGACCGAGACTTCCAACAAACAGATTTTTCCACCCTTCCTCTTCCTCTTTCCCAAAGACAGCTGTCATTTTCACTTTCCCCCACATAACAACCCCCCTCCCAACAGATTCCAACCCAGTACTTCCAAAAAGGGGTTTTCTTGGAGTACTGGATCTTGGTAGGTTTTTAGGCAGAAAATGAACTTAGTCATTCCCCCAGAGTGCCCCCAGACTACAGAGCCTTCTCCTTGGCTGCCCTCTTGGAAACCAACCTCCCCCCTACTTCCCCCCTTACACAGAGAAGGGGGTAGGAACTTACCCATCCACCTGATTCCTTTGACTTCATCTGAATATGACTAGAAAGTTTCAGATGGTATGTGCTGCCCTCAGTCACCCAGCTCCAGTATAGATCCTGCTAGTCTACAATACTGCACAGGGGTGTGCAAGGCCACCCAAGTCTCAGAAATCTAAGAAACAGCAGTCCTTATAGTCTCTGTTTAACAGAATTGGGGGGGGGGTCTCTATTCTGAATGCTTCCTTGTTCCTTGTCAATATGGTTCTCTAGCTGCTGTCTGGGCCAGGCTTTCCATTGCTCCATGGGGTTATGGATTGTTCAGGTCACTGCTGAGCCTCTTCCCAGTGCCAAGAGGCTCCTAAGGGTGCCATTCTAGGGGACCTGTTTTGTTTGGCTTAAATTTTACTGTAAAGGTGATGTGCAGAGAGGTTGCGGTTATGTAAGTCAGGCAATGAGTACATTTCCTTTTCAGTGTCACCCCCTCCCTATTCTCTCCCAGTTTTCCCCCTCCATACTTCCCTCCCCACCCACCAAGGTGTATAGTTCATTTCCAACATCGTGTCTAGTGGGTTTCACTGCTGAGCTGGCTCGCCCTTTGTCCCACTGTGTGTGCTTCCCCTTCCCCTCCCCAAATCAGATAAACTTATATACAAGGCAAAAAGATCAGACATCAAAAACAGCGACAGAAGAGAGTAAACAGAAGAAGGAGAAGGACAAGGAGAAGAAGAAGGAGGAGGAAGAAAAGGAGGAGGAAGAGAAAGAGGAGGAAGAGGAGGAAAAGGAGGAGGAGGAGGAGCATAAACAGCACAACAAA